GGCCGGCATGCGCCGTGCGCCGACAATCAGCTGCTTTATCAGGAAACGAAACCAATAGTGTACGACGTGAACGGTATGAGCGTGAATGCGAACGAACGTGAGGGCGAGGCTACATTGTAAGGGCCGCGCCGTGGTGATCGACTGGCCTTTAAAAGGACATGCCAATAAGGATACAGCACTGTCAGCCTCCATCCATCTAACCATCCGCTACACCCGCTACACCCATCCATGACCATCCACATAAACCGGAACCAAATACCGAATAAACCGAAATGCGTCAGCAGTGCATATGTGCAGTTCATATGATTTTGTTGTTGTTGTTGTTGTTGTTCCTTTAGCTTGAAAGCTGTTTTTGAGCTATGTTTTGCGGTCGGTATACAAGCGAGGTATTTTAGCGTAGGATTTCGTAGATCGGTAAGACGGGGGAAACTGCAACGGCGTAATTTGAAGGAGAGGACTCTTGACGCCTGGCTGCAAAAACTGTCATTACGGCGCCCTTCGCTGGCGAGCTTGGGCGCTTCTTCTGTCTCGTCAGTCGGTGCCTCTCCTCCTGCACCTCTTCCTCCCTCTACCCCCTTGCCCTGCCCTTTGCTTAGAGGTAATTATACTGTGTCAACAATTTTCGTAATGGGAAGTGAAAACCAGTCGTATAAAATCGGCGCAAGCAATGCTTGCCCTCGTTACACTGTCATAATAAACGTTTATGGAAAGGGGTAACCAGCGTGGGAACGGCTCTTGCGTCATAAATGCGCCGATAATCCCTTCCTGCTGGGGCTGACAAGGGCATCCGAACCGACTTGGAAAATGTCATCAGAAATTACACCCACCATTTGCGAATAGCAGACTAATTTCCCTTCATATACAGTTCCCTGGCTGCCGCCCGCCAGCCAGGGACCAGGGGCCGGGTAGCCTGTCCCGTCACACACAGAACGTGTGCAGGGCTGCCTACCCACGCGGCTGCAGGGGCCATGCAAAGACCTCGCTCGAAATAAACGTTGCGCGACGTCTGTTGGACAACCTATGAGGAGCACTGCCAGAAAACAGGTCCAACTTGTAAACTTTACAATTCGTTAGTGAAAGCCTTCGTACGCTTTAATAATTTGCCAAAGAAATTTCACTTACAGCCAAGAAGTACTTGCACTGACCACCGTTAAGGCGATAAAGCACCTTTGCACAAAAACATATAATCTTTAGCAAGGTACGGAGCGCCCACTATTTTAAAAGCTACACTGGAAACACAATGGTTAGACCTAAAGCCTTTTTATGGGGCTAAAATTTAGTGCTTGTACTGAGGCCCAAAAGTGTCCAAAGGCACTATACTAAAGTCAGCACCTTTTGGTGTTTTTAGTGCCTCTGTAGAGTCATTAGCATCCGTAAGAGGCCGCCTTTTTGGTTTTGCTAGTGCAGTGAGTGTTGGTTTGGGCGTCCTCTCGGCTGCTCGTGCGTGCAGGTCTCTGCTGAGCGGGCCGCGTCGGCGCCGCACCTGTGCCGAGTGTGCCGGGCTCAGCTGCCAACCTGATCTGACCTTCCTCAACAATGTTGTCTGCGATAAGCCGCCGCCGCACGCCGCCGGGCCGCCTCCAGCACCGATACCATCAAACGGTCCTGGAATACAGCAGGCGGCGAACGTCACTTAAAGCTGACACCTCGCGAGACGGACAGACGGTCAGCGCTTGCAGCAACACTGTTCATCATGGAAACCTTGCGCTTTAGTGGCGAGTCTTGTTTTTCGTGGCGGCAGCGGTGGCGGCAGCGGTGGCGGCGGCGGCGGTGATGACGATTTAATTTTGCGTGTGTTGAGCGCGTGAAAGTAGAGCGCGGTTCCACGAATGGATCGCTTCAACTGGCCGTGTGGTGTGAGGACAAAAGGAACGCGACACGGTGGTGGTGTATAGCTCAGCTCCTCGCGCCGGTTTGCAATGTGATTCCCCCCCCCCCTCCCCGCTCCTTTCCCCCGGGCTGATGACCCTTTGCACCGAATCGATACAAGGAGGCTCGCCGCGAATGACGAGTGAGTTTGTACGAATTTCTCATACGTCTTCTGCTACTTTGTTGCAAGCCGGGTAATGGCTACGCTTTACTGGCGCGCGTCGTTATGTTGGTCCTGCCATAAATCAGACGGCCGTGTCAGCGAGTAAATCACAACACTTCCGGTGTGTACTTTGGAGCGCGGGTAGCAAAAAATGACAGTATGGAAAACTCATCTCTCTTTACTCTCACAAGCTCCACCTCTTTCTCTCTCACTCTCTCCTTCTTTCCTTGGGGTGTTCCCTATCAACTAGGTATGAATTTTCAGGCCGGTTTTATTCTACAGTCACTTTTTAGTGGCGTACTTGTAGAGCGTGTGATACCTAAACTGGTGTCTTCCAGCACATTTGTCCCTGGAGCGGGACCCGCCCCTGCGTCCGGCGGAGCAGGTCGAGCTCTGAGGCGGGACATAAATTCTTGGTAATTTATTTAAGGAGCCGCCAGCCCGGTGTGGCCGTGTTAACAGACCTTGCCCTCGTCTAGCAGACGGAAAAGTATTGTTTCCGGTGGAGGAACGCGATTTTCGGGCCCTGCGGGATGCTCTGAAGAACTCTGATTGAGGAAGAGATGTGTCTTCATTCACACTCGACAGGTTTTTTGAGCGTCCTGCAACTCATTCCGTTTATCATCGTTTATCTGCTCGTCATCGCTGTTTTTTTTTTTAACCTTAGACACTATTTTTGTTTCTTTTTCTAACTTGTCAAAGAAAACTCTACTTGTAATCTTGTGTTCTTTGCCGTCTATTTGTGCAGCACTGATTCGTCTCACGTGGCCGAGCCCTTTTGGGCTGTGCGCATGCGCAGAAAGTGGAGTCGGGTCACGTGCTGCACTGAGTCGCTCTAACTTATGGCCACCGTCAGCTACCATCCGGTGAAAGTGCATGTGATGAGATATTTTGTGCGAACGTATAGGCTAGTAGGGGGTCCAGCCACCGCCGACCGGAGCGAGCCCGGCCACCGGTCCGACCGCGTCGGGGATGCAGCCTGGCAGGCTTAGCTTATTGTGACTTATTCGAATAACTATGTGAATTCTACTGATAACTTTTGCTTCTGACATCATACAAGGTTTTGCCGGCGTTGGTTTCCTACTAGCTCAACAGCATGACAAAATAACTATAACTCTTGTAATATAGTCTGACTCAAGTACAATAATGATACTCGGTAGGTGCAGGCACCAAGCGAGTTCCCATTCGAGCTTAGAAGTCGAACTTTTTGGCCCCCAAAATAAGCACACACTAGGACTAAAGCATGCCGATTTATGTTAAAACCTAAGCAGGGGAAATCACGCGTGTGTTGGTGGCACTGCAGTTTTTCATACTTTGACACGCCGCGCCCGCTATTTCTCATACTCAGTCGGAATGGCCTCGAATGGTAGAAGGGAGAAGAAGTGCAGGGAGGGGAACTTCCGCCAAAGGCCGGGCGTCCCAGTCCTACTCTACATCTTCTTCTCTCTCTGTCGTTCTCGCCCCTTCCGCAACCCGGCGAATGAGACAAGGAGAGCAAACGTGTCTCTGACGCGTCCTGGCCCGGCCGGACCCATAAGCCTAGTTGCTGCTGAGCAAAACGTCTTAACGACTTTCCTTTCCAAGGAAGCTGGCTTGGCGGGGCGGGGCGTGGTGGCTCGGCCGTTGAAGAGACCGCGCGGCACAGACCGAGTTACACCACAAACTTCTGTGCCTACTTCTGCTGCTATGATGATTCCTCTTCAACGACACAAAATATGAACCAAAACTAAACTACTTGCACTAGCCACATTTACCTGTGACATTAATATACTCTGCACGATGTAAACGAGCCTCAAAGTGCGGATAGGTCTATTCTCTATGCGCGATGGACTTCCCCGTCGCACCTACCGCAACCGGCACAGGCACTGGCCTGACACACTACCTCGTCACGCGCGGGCGCCCCCCCC